ATTCTCCACTCCATGAGATTTTTCCCTAACCTTGAGTATAACTCGCACTGGACTTTTAGCATCCATGCTGTTTTTGAGGGCCATTCCTTGTGCCAACTTTTGATCACAAGCTGAAACACTATACCATGTATTGTTAGGATTTCCTCCATGACCAGTGTAAACCAAGGCATCTCTAGATTTTCTTATATTGTTGTAGCGATTAGTGACCACAATGCTAGTTGCCAACGAGTTTCTACCTCTTCCCATGTAATCGATACCATTGGAAAACTGCTTGTGGAGACCAATAATATTGAGTTCAACCCTATATCGAAACTGGTCACCAACTTCAATTCCTAATACATGTCCAACGCGCTTCTGACTGTTCTCCCATTGGTTATCTCTTTTCATGCACATTGCTGCACGAATCAGAAGTTTTGATTTGGATTTAAAATTCCCAAGTTGACTTGCTTCATATTGAACCATTAGCTCGTGATGCAGGTTGCAAAACATCTCCAATGCTTGTTTCACCTTCCTGTGCCTCACAGACATTTCCTTCCCATTTCTTGCTGGAAGAAGGGATGGAGGACAGTTGCTTTCTTTTTCCAGAGGACTTCGAAGCATCCATTTCTATAAAATCAATACAAATAGAGACTATTTATTAGAAATATCCATCAATGATACTAAAACCTGAGTTTACAACATAGCAACTATGTAATATAATTAAATAATAATAACAAAAATCACATTCAGATCTGCACAGTCCACAAAAGAAAAAAAAATTAAAAATAAATCAAGATTGGGAAGCATTCAAATGCAGAAACTGGAAGCAATAGTAAAGTTTAAAATGTAAAACTTTGTGGGGGTAAATAATTAAGAAAAATGCTCTGTTTTTTCTTTTTTGGTGCTGCAACATGTAGTCTCAGTTCCCTCAACCAGAAACTAATTTCGCCGGGGCAGGGATCCACGTGTAAGTACAGGATCCCTAACCACTACATTAATTTAGTGGGTTAGAAAAAAAAGTTAACAAATTAATAATAATAATAATAATAATAATATTTTTTTACCAATAAAAAAATTATAAAACCAATATTAAAATTTGAACCTAAAATGGTGTGGATACTATACTAACCCTTTACCATTATACCAAATTTAGTAGTTTAGTAATAAAAATAATGAATAATAATATATTTAGTCTACTAACTTAAAGATTAATTCTCTTTGTAGTACCATGACTATTGTTGAGTCAAAAGATTTTTCCACACCGCAAAAATCAAACATGATTTCTCATTAAATAAATTGTGTTCATAATGTGCGACAACAATATATTAATTACTATGTTAACCTTTTTGATTGGCAAAAACAGTCTATACATAATAAGAATTCGAAGACTAATAAGAAGATGATGATGATGACAAAGACGACAAATGTAACATCTCAGTTTTCAAAATGATTATTGTTATTATTATTATTATTATTATTATTATTATTATTATTACATGGTATTTGGTCATAATTTGGTGATTATATTTGACTTTAATTGTAGCTAATTTATATTCCATTTATGATTAATTGTAGGCTTTAGAAAGATAGGTGTGTTGATGGACTTAATTAAATAGTTGTGAAAATTCTTGTTAAAACCGTTTTTAGCTGGGCTGTTTGGCAAGCCTCGGTGTTTAAGACATAACTTGGGCTGTGGTGGTCTAAATGATGTAAAATTGGTGTCAATAGAAAGCTAAGACAAAAACGTACAACTTTTGCAGAAATAGCCATTTGCAAATTCGGTCTTATAGAAGGTATAAATTAGAATTTTATTGATACAATTGTTTCTCGCTGGGCTGATTGGCAAGTCTCTGTTTTTTGGTCATAACTTGGGATGTGGTTGTCCAAATGATGCAAACTCGGTGGATATGGAAAGATAAGAGAAAACCCTACAACTTTCATGAAGAAATCATTTTCAGATTCGGCTGTCCAGAAGGTCCAAATCGGTGGAAAAAGTCGGTGCGGAAAAGAACATGGCACCAACTCCATAATTTCATCCAACCAACTCCACTAATTCATTCCACTAACAACACCAACTCATCCCATTTCGTTTTGTCTAAGATATTTTCATTATTTTTCATTTTTTTAATGTGCTATGGAGGCTATAAATAGGCCTTCACTTCTCCATTGCAAACCATCCCTCAATTCTCATTCTCTCTTCTCTTATACTCTCTTCTTCTCCTCTTCTTCTCTTTGAAGACCTAGAGGAATCCATAGGAGGTGGTTCTACCCTAGTAGAAGGAGCCTAGAGGAGGAAGCTCTTCTTTAGTTTCAACGCCTGTTATCCAGGTAAGGGGGGAGTGAGAAACCTCGCTCTGGGTGTGGGATTGTATGCTGGGTAGTGGGATTGACCCCCAATCCTGTATTTGTTGTATGTCATATTGTTTGTATGTTCTAATTGCTGGGTTAATATGTGTGTATGAATAGAAATTCTGTTGAGATTATGATTGTGAAAGTTATGAATATGATATGATAATGTGAATGTGATGTTTCTAATGATATGATGTGATGATAATGTGATATAATGTGATGATAATGTGATATGATGTGATGATGAAATATGATGTGAAATGGCCATGAGATATGATTGACCATGAGATAGATAATGTGATAATGTGACAATGAGATATGAGGAAATGATAATGTGATATGAGAATGCATAGAGTCTTGATTGACATGCATCATTTGCATAAGTGTTTTAAGGGTACGATATGGAATACACCGCCAGAGAAGGCCCCCTAGTGTAAAAGCTTTGGGGATCAGTCCTTGGGGATGGCTCGGTTTGGAAGTCCCAGTCTCGCCCATTGTGTGCATGGGATGTATCTTGCGTGACTTAGCTATCCCGACTAGACTCTGGTAGTATGTCCTTCTAGTGAGAGTGCGCAGAGGTGTGTCCCGGCATGTACTCCTAGACTACTCTTTGTGTATTGCTAGCGGCAATATACTACGTGATAAGTGACTGACGCCACATGCATGATAAAATTGTAGTCTGTATCCATACATGTGTCTTTTGATGTTATATATGGATATGCCTTGAATGAGTAAGATGTGATATTGTTATTAATCTATGTTATACATGTTTTGTTTGTGTTTGGCTATCTAGTATATATATTCCTACACTGTGAGCTGAGTGAGATGTTTTCTCACTCCCTTTTTCTTTGTGTTGTTCTTCTCTGACCATTATACAGGTGATTATCAGCATGAGGCTGAGGATGTTGGTGGTGAAGCTTAGGCTTCTATATGGGCTATGTTCTGATAGGACATGTGACATCGGGGCATAGATAAGATTAGATTAGGGTGTTATTGTTATTTAAAATTACTTTGGAAACTTTGAGATTTATTTATTTGTAATTTCCGCTAATTATGTTTGTTAGAAATGTGATACTCTTTAAACATGTTTTATTATTAAATGTTATATTATTTAAATTTATTGAGTTATGATATGCAGGGTAGAGGGTGTCACAACAAAGAAGAATATCAGCATAATGAATAAAAATATAACCATAACACTAGCAAGTATTTTTAAGAAACAAACTTTCTTACTGATAAGAGCATTCAATTCACAAAACCATGAAACAAGGATGGCAAAATCATAAGTTACATAAAGAAAAAGAACCTTTGGAAAGAAAAAAACCCCAGAAAACCAAGGAAAACAAGAAAGAAACATAACAAAGAAAAATGAAGTAAAACACTACAAAAATAATATATTTTGTTATTTTCTAATGAATGAAGGAGATTGAGAAATGAAAATGAAAACTCTATTGGAAAAGAACAAAGTTAGGACAGTGATGAAAGAAAAATGAACTGATGAAGATAGAAAGCAAAATCGCTTATTAACTATGTACTTGTTATTATTATCACATTACTATTAATAGTTAACAATTAAAATGGGATGAAACATTTTTTTTTTGTTTATACCACATATATCCTTTACTAAATGCAATCTTGTTCTAATTAGGTAAGATCACAAATTAAAATAATTAAATGTACCATTTAAAGAAAATAAAATAAAATATGTTTTTAGTATTATAAATTTAAATAATTAAATTTAATATTTATTTTTTAAAATATGACAAAAACTAACGTGTATTACTTTTATAAATGATTTATAATGTAATACTTTTACTCATTATTGGATTTATCTCATCTTCATGGTCATACCCTATACCATCCACATTTAAAGATTCCTCCCCTAACTCCCTCTACTCATTGAATTCCATCACTCTCACAAAAAATAATAAATATAGAGAAGATTTTCATAAAAAAAATAAAAAAAATATAATTTGAGTTTAAATAAAATAAAATGGGTCTAACAGACTCCAAGAAAATAAAAAACCTTAAACATAAATTCATTTCATATATAGTGAGGATATATAGATTAAAGTCCTTTACTTTTCAAGAAAATAATATTTCTAAGGGTCACAAAGGAACCCACACACAAACTTAGTAAGAAATTGATCATCTTAGTAGAAATATATTTTATTTTTTAGTTTCTTTAACGTATACATCAAGTGGTTTTTTTTTTTTTTTTTTTTTTCAAATGGTTTTTTTTTTTTTTTTTTTTTTTTACTTGTTAGTTTTAATAACAAAATTGTTAACTTTTTTTAAACATCTCTCAACCTTTATTTTTTTTCTTCTTATTTTAATATTTTCTTTTAGCAATCCATTAAAGTTATTCTTAATTTTATTTGAAAATCAAATAGATCTTGCATACAATTTTTTATACAGAAAATGTTTCTAATCAATAATAAAAGAAATTATTCTTTTAGACATAACTATCCTTGAAGTGAGTTATTTTTCCAAAAAAAAATTATTTTTCACAAGCACAGCCATAATCATCGATCATGCATTTTACCAACAAAATAGCTAATTTACCTTTTTTTCAAAATAAAAAAAAAACTTAATTTGACTTATATATATATATATATATTTTTTTTTTTTTGAATATTTTTAATGTTCCTTTTAAATTTTAATTCACTTAACCTTCGGCTTAAAACCACTAACGAGCCCAATAAAAAAAGAGGTGCGAGTTGGATCCAAGCGACAAGGAAGGGTTTTCAGAAGAGTGAAAGGGCCAAGGGCTAGCGTTTTCGCAAGACGCAACACAAAGTTAGACGAAAAGGGAAAACTCTCCATTCTCGGGCGCGTGGCTTTCGATTCTAATCCGCGTTTCCAATGGCCTTCAACAGCGCACTCAGATCTGCCACAAAGCTAATCGCTTCTTCCGAATCCTCCCTCTCTAACTCAGGTCAAATTCCTCATTTTTTTTGGAGATGTGTGTTTCGCGAAAATTTATGCAATTTTTGTTTTATCGATGATGTTCCTTATGGTTGTTCAAGGTGAATTCGTTTAAGGAGTTTTGAAATGGTCAGGCCGTTCTATTTTATTTATTTATTTGTTTATTTTTAGGGTGTTTTGTTTAACAATCGAAATAAAAAATGTTTGTTGCAGGTTGTGCTGTATTGTTATTATTGGGGCTTATGATTTATATTTTATGGATTCAATAATTTCATTAAATTCTATAGGAAACGTTGAATATAATGATGCCTACATTGGAAATGAAATGCAATCAGTGAGATGAATAAACTGTATGGCTTGATTAGATGTGTAATTCGCCCTGATTTCATTTCTTGATATTGTTGAGTATGATGGGAGAGGTGTTGGGGGTGATTTTACTGGAGGAAAATTTTCTAGCTGAATGTAGAAAGTCGACCAAAAGGGGCAGTGTTTCTTTGAGAATGCCACTTTTCGTATTGAGGGTTGTGTGTTCCTGGAGAGTAGTGGAGGTTTAGTTTGTTGAATTTCAAGTGAAAGTTTTTGAGAGGTTGGGGTTGGTCATGAGCAATGGCGAAGGTCAGAGATGGATCCAAAGCGAGGCAAGCAGGGGCTTAGCCCGCCTTCTCCCTGCTCTTTGAAAAAATATAGTATGATATATATTTGTTATAATAAGTATATGATTATTAAGAAAAAAATTAACTTATTCTCTAACTGATCCTTTTATTTGTTTTAAGATTGTTTCTTCTTGTTTCAGTTGTTATAATTAAGAGATCACTTTCAGCTATGTAGACTATGTAAAATAAACTTAAGAACAAGATGAAGATGTATTTTTAATTAATTGTTTAATTTATACTCACAGATTGATTTGTACTTGGTCGATGGATTTCATGATTTAAAAAATGATATTCATAAATTAAGCTTGTCAACCCACCTAGTGTGATGAGACTAGTTGTTGTTGTGGAGATTAAGCTTGGACTTTGGGCTTAATTAGCATTGTCTGATATTATACAAGAGCAAAATATGGAATAATTAGTTATCATACCAGTGCAGTTGAATTTAATGCATATAACATTTTATTATTGTAGCATTAGTCATTTAGTTATGTTATTTATCAATAAGGGATATGTTGTAAGCCCACTTTGCAGCTCTAATGGTTTGCTCAGCTTCATTTCACCAGGTTACTGCAAGTTTTGAGACAGTACTCCTTCTAAAACCCTTGAAATATTTTATAAAATATTTATGGCACGGAATAGCTCGCCCCATAAAAGCTACTGGGGATGGCTGTTATATCAATGTTAGTGAATAAAATATGTAATTTATACTGCACAAATCTTACTACAACAACAACAACAACAACCAAGCCTTTATCCCACTAGGTGGGGTCGGCTATATGGATCAAACGACGCCATAGGGATCTATCATAAATCATCTCTCTTGATAAGGCATTGATCTCTATGTCCTTTAGCACTGTTTCCCCTATAGTTTTCCGAGGCCTTCCTCTCCTTCTAGCTCCAACAGTAACCTCCATCTCATCGACCCTCCTCACCGGTGCGTCAGCCGGTCTCCTCCACACATGCCCAAACCATCTAAGACGGAACTCAACCAACTTCTCCACAATACTTGCAACCCCCACACTTTCTCGGATGCATTCATTTCTAATCCGATCTTTTATCGTGTGTCCCCACACTGCACAAATCTAAATGCTCAAAATTTAAAAGGTACCCCACTGAAGACATCATTGTTAAAAATCAAAAGTCATGGTCTGTGTACACTATCACCATCAATCTAAAACATAATTTGAAAAATCAATAATAATGAGAGACTGAAGCTGAGGTTGAGTGCTCTGTTGGCTGCTTGTGACTGAGATGATGCCATGGCTTCACCAAAGAGGAGCCCTGCCAGAAAATGCATTACCTGTCAGAGATGGGTGGTGGAAGGGACATAGTAGCAAACTATTGGGTCATTCTTGGAAGTGAAAGGTTGTGAACATGGGTGAAAGTGTATGAAATTTAAAAACTACATTAAAATTTCTTTGGGGTAGTTTGAACAAAATCGGCACAAAATCGGGATTTAATGGTTTGTTAATAATAGCGGCCGTAATGGCGATGATTTGTGTCTGCTTTCTCCCGGTGATTCAGACTGTCTTTTAAATTTAGATATACTCTGACATTTGTTTTATTAAAATATTATTAACTTTTTAAGAATCATCAACATTTATTGATATCTGTGCGTGATTGCATATGAATATCCTTTTAGATCCTTGGAAAGTCACAGATTCCATCAGCGTTCAACTTCTTACTAGAAAATATTATGTTAACAGTGAGCAGAGGTTTTCATTCAACCGGCATGAAGAGGATGGGAGGTGGACATGGCCATGGTGAGCCAGATTATATGCATGCAAAGCACATGTACAACTTGGACAAGATGAAGCACCAGGGGTTGAAAATGTCCCTTGCAGTGCTCTCTGCTTTCAGCATTGGTGTTGCAGTTCCTGTATATGCTGTCATTTTCCAGCAAAAGAAGACAGCTTCTGCTTAACTCATCTTTACTTCATCGCAGCAATAAGTTGGATTTGGGGATCCTAGACTAGCCTATTAGTTTTGGTTTCATGATTGTTTTGAACTTTGTTTATGTTCAACCTTCTATATGGAATGTCCATATATATATCTCATAATCAATTTCTCTGCACTACCAAATACTTGTGCACTACCAAATACTTGTGCTGGGACACCTTCATGTTTTGCACGTGTGTTTCATGCGGTTTATCAATAGTTTGATAATTTGGTAAATGCATGTTTGCAACCAGTTCTTTTATTAAGTTAGGAATACCCTACCAATGTAAAAGAAGAAAACAAATTGTCAGCAAATTTTAGAAGGATGAAAAAAAAAAATGTGTATCAAAATTAAAATCCAATTATTTTATAATAGTTAAGTGCATATTTTCGGGTTCCGATAATAACTTTTTACATTTACTCTTGTAATAACTTTATCCTCCTCTTATTACAAGTAGTGACATAAAATAATATTAAAATTATTTTAAAAATAAAATTATAAAAATTCAAAATCAAAGAATGTATTTTGAGATGTAGACTAACGTATGGATACGGTTGCTATGATGCAACTTTTGACCGTTACTTTTGACTGTTACGATGTAAAATTATTATATATTTACTTTGAATATAAATAATTTTATAATAATAAAATTTAATTAGACTTCTTTTTATAATTTTTCACATGTACATGATGATAATAGACTATCGAAAATGATGAGCTTGAGTTCACATGTTAATTGGAACACCTACATTTGGCATGTTGCACCGCCATTCTTTCACCCTTCACATGTTTGTCCTTCACGAGTTTCATCAATGGTTTGTTCATTTTTGTGCGAGTGATGGAATTCAATGAGCAAAGGAAATTAGGGGAGGAATCTTCAAATGTGGATGGTATAGGGTATCACCATGAAGATGAGATTAATCCAACGATGAGTAAAAGTAATGTATTATAAATCACTTATAAAAGTGATACATGTAACGCCCAAATTCTAATACCCAATTTATATAATAAAAATTATAAAATTTTATAATTATTTTTCGCAATTATATTATTAACAATATCTATATATTTATTTAATAAAAATAAAAGTAAAGAAAAGAATATTTTGTGAATTTAATACATGACACATCTTTCTAAAATATTTAGAATAACGTATTATTTTACACATTATTCCTCTTCCTTACCCTTTTTAAATACAATATTTATATTCATAATGGAAAGAAAATTACAATTAAAATAATATGATCGACAAGTAAAGTTATAACAGATCCATCAAATAGCCTTCATATTCCAAATTCCTTCCGAGTAGGATAGCAGTAACAATAACGGCAAAATGATCTGGAATCTCAAGTTGATCCATCTATTTTAAAATATATTTAATTTAAAAACAAAGAAAAGAAAGGAGTAAGAACAATATCCAATAAATAAAATAATTCAAAAGAATAAACAAAATTATTTATAATTAAAATATAAATATAACTATATATACAGATCAAATATTAGATGATACAATAAAATTTGAATTATACTTGTAGTGACTAGTCAGGATAAATGAGCATCATTATAACACCAACCAACAATAAGATATTTCACCTTTACTCATTTAAATCCCCAAGGTTAAACCTCCAGCTACATATAATTCAAACTTTATCGTCTATGGCCATAGAGTATTAATTATCTTTAAAATAAGTAAAAGACATTTTAACAAAATTACATTAATCATAAAAATAATCACACTAAATAAATTTGAAAATTTATCATTATTTAAGCTTTAATTAAATAATACAAATGAAATATATTAAGAGCACCAATTAATTGACAATGGTAATTATTATTAAACAATATAAATGTGAATATATTAATAATTATTATGGATAAGAATAATCATAGAATAAGCAAATAAATGAGGTTAACAATACCCCACTAAATAAATATACATAAAAAAAAACTAAAATAGATAAACATAATAATTAAAAGTTAAGTAGTTAGATGAGATTAGAAACACCTCACTGAATAAATATAACAATAACATAAATAAACATTGTAATTAAAAATTAAGTACTTAGATGAGGTTAGGAACACCTCACTGAATAAATATAACAATAACATAAATAAACATTATAATTAAAAATTAAGTAGTTAGATGAGGTTAGGAACACCTCACTGAATAAATATAACAATAACATAAATAAACATTGTAATTAAAAATTAAGTAGTTAGATGAAGTTAGGAACACCTCACTGAATAAATATAGCAATAACATAAATAAACATTGTAATTAAAAGTTAAGTAGTTAAATGAGGTTAAGAACACCTCACTGAATAAATATATAAATATAGTGAGGTTAGGAACACCTCACTGAATAAATATATAAATATTGTGAGGTTAAATAGATGACATAAATAAATATACATAATAGTATATAAAGTTTTTAAAGAGATAAGGTTCTCCTCCCCCCTTACCTAGTTCATTGAATTCCGCAGCCCCAGCCATTTACTATTTATTAAAATAATATTAAATTTACTATTCATTAAAATAATATTATATTTACTATTTATAATATTATAAAATATTATTTTTTTAATATTTTTTATTTTTTTACATTTTTTTTAACTTTTAATAATCCCATAAATATTTAAAATACATAAAAATAATCCTTAATACTGCATAAATTTTGGGATATTACAATACACGTTAACTTTTATTATATTTTAAAAAATAAATATTAAATTTAATTATTTAAATTTATAACTCTAAAAACATATTTTATTTTATTTTTTTAAAATGTTACATTCAATTATTTCACTTTGTAGTCTTACCTGATTAGAACAAGATTGCATTTAGTAAAGGATATATGTAGTATATACAAAATAAATGTTTCATCCCATTTTAATTATTAACTATTGATAGTAATGATGATAATAATAACAACTACACACTTAATAAGTAACTTTGTCTTCTTTCCTCATTTGTTTATTTTTCTTTCATCACTGTCCTGAGAAAGTTTTGTTCTTTTCTAGTAGAGTTTTCATTTTTATTTATCAATCTCCTTCATTCATCAGAAAATAACAAAATGTATCATTTTTGTAGTGTTTTACTTCACTTTTTTTTGTTATGTTTCTTTCTTGTTTTCCTTGATTTTATGGGTTTTTTCCCCCAAAGGTTCTTTTTCTTTATGTAACTTTAAATGTGGATGGTACAGGGTAGGACCATGAAGATGAGATTAATCCAATAGTGAGTAAAAGTAATGTATTATATATCATTTATAAAAGTGATATACGTTAGCTTTTGTCATATTTTAAAAAATAAATATTAAATTTAATTATTTAAATTTATAACACTAAAAACATATTTTATTTTTTTTCTTTAAATGTTACATTCAATTATTTCACTTTGTGGTCTTACCTTATTAGCACAAAATTGCATTTAGTAAAGGATATATGTGGTATATATATATAAAAAAAAAAATATTTCATCCCATTTTAATTATTAACTATTAATAGTAATGTGATAATAATAACAACTACACAGTTAATAAGCTTTGTCTTTTTTCCTCATCAGTTCATTTTTCTTTCATCAATGTCCTAAGAAAGTTCTGTTCTTTTTTAGTAGGATTTTCATTTTCATTTCTCAATCTCCTCCGTTCATCAGAACATAACAAAAGGTATCATTTTTGTAGTGTTTTACTTCATTTTTCTTTATTATGTTTCTTTCTTATTTTTCTTGATTTTCTGGGATTTTTTCTCTCCAAAGATTCTTTTTCTTAATGTAACTTCTAATTTTGCCATCCCTGTTTCATGGTTTTGTGAATTGCATGCTCCTATCAGTAAGAAAGTTTGTTCCTTAAAAATGCTTGCTAGTGTTGCGGTTATATTTCTATTCATTATGCTGAAATTCTTCTTTGTCGTGGTTGTCGTCGTCATTGTCTTCTTTTTTCGACTTCTTATTATGTATAGACTGTGTTTGCCAATTAAAAAGGTTAACATAGTAATTAGAATATTGTTGTCGCACATCGTGAACACAATTTATTTAATGAGAAATCATGTTTGATTTTTGCAGTGTGAAAAAATCTTTTGACTCAGCGATAGTCACAATACTAATCTAGCGGACTAAATATATTATTATTCATTATTTTTATTACTAAACTATTAAATTTGGTATAATGGTAAAGGGTTAATATAGTATGCACATGATTTTAGTTTCAAATTTTAATATCAATTTTATAATTTTTTGTATTGATAAAAAATTATTATTATTATTATTAATTTATAAACTTTTTTTTTCTATCCACTAAATTGATGTTGTGGTTAGAGATCCTGTACTTACACGTGGCCCCCTGCACCCGGCAAAATTAGTTTCTGGTTGAGGGAACTGAGACTACATGTTGCAGGACAAAAAAAAAAACAGCATTTTTTCCTAATTATTTACCCCACAAAGTTTTACATTTTAAACTCTACTATTGCTTCTAGTTTCTACATATTTGAATTGGCTCAGTAGTAAAGCTCTCAAAGAGAGAAAAATACTCAAAAGAGTAATTAAATTAATACTTGATTGATGAATGAAATATGTTTAAAAGGGGGTATTTATAATATTCAGAAAATAAAAGAAATAAATAAAATAATTATAACTTGATAGACAAAATGAACCAGAAATGAGCTGTAAAGGAGGATGGTGGATAGTTGGTGGAATTATTGTTGGTTTGAGTTGGCATTAGCTGGAAGGTTATGCTCCTACATCATGAATGCTTTCCAATCTTGATTTATTTTTAATTTTTTTTTTCTTTTATGGGCTGTGCAGATCTGAATGTGATTTTTGTTATTATTATTATTTAATTATATTACATAGTTGCTATGTTGTAAACTCATGTTTTAGTATCATTGATGGATATTTCTAATAAACAGTGTCTATTTGTGATATCAGGAGAACATAATAACTCTAAAAAAAAAAAAAAACACAGAGAAAAACTGATTTCATCACTTCATATATTTTTCTATAACATAACGTACAGCATATGGTCTTAGGCAAAAGATGCAGCAACCAAAATAATATAATATTATATTTGAGAAACTCAATTTGGCTTTGTCTACTACAATTAACAATGTCAAATTCTACTACTTGCAATTTCAATTTCAGATATGCAGCCTTTGTGGACTTTCAAGTTCCTTGTTGCAGCAATTCAAACATTACGGGTTAGAATTATTCAAATTTCAAGGCGGCTTGATTTAATTTTCTCACAATTTGTATTGGTTTTATAGAAATGGATGCTTCGAAGTCCTCTGGAAAAAGAAAGCAACTGTCCTCCATCCCTTCTTACATCAAGAAATGGGAGGAAATGTCTGTGAGGCGCAGGAAGGTGAAACAAGCATTGGAGATGTTTTGCAACCTGCATCACGAGCTAATGGTTCAATATGAAGCAAGTCAACTTGGGAATTTTAAATCCAAATCAGAACTTCTGATTCGTACAGCAATGTGCATGAAAAGAGATAACCAATGGGAGAACACTCAGAAGCGCGTTGGACATGTATTAGGAATTGAAGTTGGTGACCAGTTTCGATATAGGGTTGAACTCAATATTATTGGTCTCCACAAGCAGTTTTCCAATGGTATCGATTACATGGGAAGAGGTAGAAACTCGTTGGCAACAAGCATTGTTGTCACTAATCGCTACAGCAATATAAGAAAATCTAGAGATACCTTGGTTTACATTGGTCATGGAGGAAATCCTAACAATACATGGTATAGTGTTTCAGCTTGTGATCAAAAGTTGTCACAAGGAAACTTGGCCCTCAAAAATAGCATGCATGCTAAATGTCCGGTGCGAGTTATACTAAAGGTTAGGGAAAAATCTGATGGAGTGGAGTATTGCAGTAGCCGCAGGTCTCATTGCTTATTTGTTTACGATGGCCTGTATTTAGTCACTAATATGACACATGAAAAAGGGACACACAGAAATTTTGTGTTCAAGTTTACACTGAATAGAATTTTAGAGCAACCTCAATCTTGTGTTGCCCTGAAGGATGATGTTACTGGCAATGCTGACAACTCAAAGAACTTTGAAAGTTTTACTTCAAGGAAGAGACACAAATCTGGAGGTAGTGCAGTTCAGAAGAATGTTATTCGAGTTAGTGATATTTCCAATGGAAAAGAAAAGTTTCCTGTTCGGGTAGTTACATCAGTGACCTGTGTTCAACTACCCCCAACTTTCCATTATATAGTTCAAAATATTTATTTAAACAAGTTCAAGCAGACAATTCTTCAGGGCTGTGATTGTGGAGATGCATGTGTGAACAGTGAGAAATGTCCTTGTATTGCTAAGAATGGTGGGAGAATGCCATATGACAGTAAAAGAACACTTGTTTCTCCTATGGATTCATCGCTTATATATGAGTGTGGTCCTTCTTGCAAGTGCTTCTCATCTTGCACCAACCGAGTAACTCAGCATGGTATTCAGTTTCAACTAGAAATCTTCATGACAGAATTGAAAGGTTGGGGTGTTAGAACTCGCTCTTATATTCCATCTGGAAGCTTTGTATGCGAGTACATTGGAGAAGTCAGCAAGGATAAAGAAGCTGGGTCCAGGCTAGGTTTTAGTGACTATATATTTGACATGGGTATGTTTCATCTTGATGAATTCCATCTTGCGTTTGGACTTCATTTGATAGTTGCATTCTGGTTTTGCAGGTGTTGGCAAGGACTTCATTGATGGAACAAAATCTGGAAATATTGGAAGATTTATAAATCATAGCTGTTCTCCAAATCTCCATGCCAAAAATATTGTGTATAATCACAATGACAAGAATCTCCCTCACAAAATGTTGTTTGCTGTTAAGGACATTCCTGCTG